GTTGTACTAGAAAGTCGCCAGTTCTCATCTTCCAGCTCCCCAGAGACTCCGCGTGCTCAAGTTGTACTAGAAAGTCACCAGTTCTCGTCTTCCAGCTCCCCAGATACTCCGCGTACTCAAGTTGTACTACCAAGTCTCCAGTTCTCATCTTCCAGCTCTCCAGATACTCCGCGTACTAAAGTTGTACTACCAAGTCGCCAGTTCTCATCTTCCAGCTCCCCAGATACTCCGCCTACTACAGTTGTACTACAAAGTCACCAGTTCTCATCTTCCAGCTCGCCAGATACTCCGCGTACTAAAGTTGTACTACAAAGGCACGATCTCCGCAGAGGGTTCCCCGCGTCCAGGGTCAATCGCGCTCTCGCCTACATTTCGCGCACTCGACACGCACGATCTCCGCAGAGGGTTGCGCGTACACCGGACAAATCGCACTCTCGCATGCATTTCGCGCGCTCGACACGCACGATCTCCGCAGAGGGTTGCGCGCGGACCGCGCCCCTCGCACTCTCGCCTGCATTTCGCACGCTCGACACGCGCGATCTCCGCAGAGGGTTGCGCGGACCGCACCAATCGCACTCTCGCCTGCATTTCGCGCACTCGACGCGCATGATCTCCGCAGAGGGTTGCGCGCGGACCGCACCAATCGCACTCTCGCCTGCATTTCGCGCGCACGACACGCGCGATCTCCGCAGAAGGTTGCGCGGTAATTTCACAAATCGCACTCTCGCCTGCATTTCGCGCACTCGACACGCACGATCTCCGCAGAGGGTTGCGCGGTACTTTCACAAATCGCGCTCTCGCCTGCATTTCGCGCACTCGACACGCGCGATTTTCAAGAGGGTTGCGCGGGTATGGGACAAATCGCACTCTCGCCTGCATTTCGCGCACTCGACACGCACGATCTCCGCAGAGGGTTGCATTTTCGGCTGACGCTGTTCGCCCCACCCTGCGCCTTTAAGAGAGAGTTTATAAGGTGGGGAAATGTTTTCATTAGGACATCTCCCGTGCAAGTTTTTAGGACATCTCCCGCGCAAGTTTTCCATACTCATACTTGCATACTCGTGCATACTTGCACTGGGATTGCACTGGGATACTTGCATACGTGCATACTTGCACTTGGATACACCCTTGGATGCTTTTTACCCTTACACTGGGATACGTATAGACGTGTATGTGTTCAAGTGTCAGTGTGGAAGCGTCAGTGTTCAAGTGTAAGTGTAGAGATGTCAGTGTTCAAGTGCAAGTGTGGAAGTGTCAGTGTGTAAGTGTTATTCCCGAAGTGTCAGTGTTCAAGGGATTTTCCGGAAGAACCCTTCGCAATGCTTTCGGGAAAAATAGTGTCTAAGAACAGGGACAAAAGCCAGCCGTCCTTAAAACGTTCCAAAGCTCTGTTTTATCCAGGGTCTTGTCACTAAAGCCTCTTTTTGGAAGTGCCCTGTTTTGCCCCAAGACAGCCTTCAATCAAAGCGCAAGAGGGTAACAACGAAAACTTCTCCCTAAGGTCTTTTCTGTGGTGTTGGCACACCCTTTATCAAAGGTGCCTCTTTTTGCGCCGAGGCGGCCTTCAAACACAACACAGACGCACCAACCGAGAAATACAGTTGCATGCCTTTTTATCGACTCTCGCCACCTGGCATTTCTAAATAACAACGTCTTTGCATACCTGCATCGACAATTCGTTCCCACTTTTCGGAAATATTTCCTTTTCCCCCGAAGCGGCCCCTCCTTGAAGCCTGTTCCAGGAAACTTGGCGCTAGCAACACCCTTCTCAGAGGTGCCCTTGTCTGCCTCGAGACGACTAAAAGGGCACTAGCCCAGAAAAGCGGTTTTCTGCATCGCAAAACCATTGTTGCCGTGCACCGCTTTGTCAGTGGCTTTCGTATCCTATTTTTGCCCCGGCGCGTAACCTTGGCGCTAGCTAGCACTCACTTACTCAAACACAGCCCTCAAGTGCGGCAGAAGGGTTTTTCCATTCTCTGCATCTAGATCTCTGTAAGTGATGCGATCTTTCCGTTGACGCATGGTTTGACTTCACGCATTGCTTGACGATCATAAAATGCTTTATACTGGAACCAACAAATTTGCCAACGCGCTCCAAAAGACGCCATCATGCCCAGTTGATTACGCAGAAAATGCTAGTATCTAGCGCTAAACTTGGCCCACCCAGGTTTCCGCTCTCTTTCAGCAGGCCCCGCCACACCCCCTAAAACTCACTTCGTTCGCCCAATAGAAATTCAGCCTAGCCTTGTGACATAAAGCTGCCTGCTATGTCTGAAAAACCTTAAACTATTTATTGTAGGAAAATAATAGTAATAAAATAGAAAAAATAGGAACTGAAAATAGGGAGAAAAAAAAGGACACAAAGAGGATGAGTCTCAAAAATAGGAAAAGAAAAGAGCTGGGTTTAGAAATAGGAAAGGAAAAAAGGAAAAGAATGGCAGCGCTCTAGGACAGGAACATGAAATGGATACGAAGAGCAAATGACTGGAAGCAACATACTGGAAGCAAATTTCCGTTCATTTTCCTATAAAAATTGATTACTTCATTTCATTTTCCTTTAAAACATACTTTTATTTTCCTTTAAAGAATTATTAACTCCGTTCATTCTCAATCAAAAAAACAAATTCCTTTAATTTCCCCTTAAAAAATAGAAAGTCCTTTCATTTTCCTTTAAAAAATGATAAATTCCTTTCATTTTCCTTTTAAATTCCTTTCATTTCCCTTAAAAAGATCCTCTCACTTTCCTTTCAAAAATTGATTATTTCCTTTAATTCTCTTTTACAAATTAATAAATTCCTTTAAATCTATATTTTGTCTATTTATTTATTGTGTTTATTCCATTTTTTTTACTATTTTTTGGGGGGTGTCTATTTTTCTTATTTTTCCTATTTTTTTTGGGGGGTGGTCGAAAATCGTCCTATGCTTTTCCTATTTTCAATTCCAATTTTTCTATTTTTTAGGAAAAATATGAAAAATAGAAAAAATATGAAAATAGTAAAAACATAGCCCCCCCAAAAAAATAAAATGAAAAAATAGTAAAAATAGGAATTGAAAATAGTAAAAACATAGGACGAATTTCGACCACCCCAAAATAATAAAAAATAGGAATACAAAATAACAAAAAACACCCCAAATTACCAAAAAAATAGGAATAAAAACAAATAAAATAGACAATGAAGTGAATTTATTGTTTTAAAGGAAAATTACATAAATTTAGCATTTTTAATTGAACATGAAAGGAATTAATCATTCTTAAAAGAAAATGAAAGGAATTTATATGTTTAAAGGGAAATCAAAAGAATGACGCTTAAAAGGAAAATTGAAAGAAGTTTTAATTGCTTAAAGGAAAATGAAAGGAAGTAATCAATTTTTAAAGGAAAATGAAAGGACATAATTAGATCTAATCTAATCTAATCATTCCAATCGAATGCCGGCCTAACTGTGCATTGCCGCACTGCTATTAAATATCCAGTTTCATTCACTTGTGTCTGACCATGCGTCTCATCGGAATGAGCCACCTGCCTTCCGGTAAATCTGAAATATTCGATCCTATGTGTTTCCTATTTCATGTTTGTTCTTGTTTTCTGCCCTATTTTATTCCTATTTTGGGGTCCTATTTTATTCCTATTTATTTCCTAAAAATAAATATTTTTGAAAACTCCAGAGATAGTAACAGCTTTTTTTCATAAGCCTAGCCTATCGGCTGGCTTTCGTGAACATAAACAAAACAAAAAAGATTCAATGGTAGAATGAAAGCATGCAAAGCTCCACGTTCAGCCTTTGGCGCTTCACTGGAACGACTCAGGCCACTCTTGGCAAGACGTCCTTCATGCAACTGAGTCCTAAGCAAACGTGATGGGAAATGTGTTCAGTTTTGCTGTCAGTCTTGCTTTCTGTATCTGCCCCTTTTTCCACCTGTTCTTTTCTATTTACCTGCATTAGTTGCGTTCTTTAACTCAAATTGATGGATCAAACTCTCGTGCAAGTACTCACTTCATCTGATTTCTAGTAGTGTTACTTTCTTCTACCCCTTCGTCCAACCTCACAATATCCGTTCAGCGTCTCTCCCTGCAGAATCAGCTTTCGCTTGCGTGGCTCAGGAGGCAAGCAATCCCACAGCGGAACCACGGCACTTCCCAGGTGCTCCCCTGTCTCCTTTCAATACACTTTGCATTGAGTGACTTCAGCACGCTTTCCAATCAGCAGCATACCTGTCCTCCGCGCGACCCTTTGGGCCATCAGCATCCCAAATGTCAAAAGCCTGGTGGACGCTCTCACTTTTGCCACTTGGGAGTTTCAGGTACATCTCAAAGCCTATGTTTTGAACAATGAGTATTTTGGCCAATATCTGCAGCCAAACGTGTCTTTTTGCACCATTGACTGCGCATGAATATACTGTATCTAGGCTGTAGTTCAATCATTTCTGATCAGCTTTCTTCACACCTACAGTAGTCTTCTGCTAAACGAGCATTTGGTGCTGAACACATCACTTGCGGCCAAGTCACAATGAGCAGCGGCTGCTCGTCATGCTCAAACTTGGCATGGAATCCCTGATAGACTGAGGAATAGTTGAGAGTCTGAGTTTGGAAATTTGCTTTTTGATGAAGTCGGACAGTGACAAAACCAAAAGAGCGCCTCATTCCATATGGGATCGAGGCAGTCCTTGATGGTCTTGGTGCGGTGAATCTCACGAACCTTGAAATACTGCTTGTCTAATCGTCTTAGAATCAGCTGAGCAAGTGGTGCTTGGACCAAATGCCGGTCGATCACATTGAATCAGAATCACTTCTTACAATCTGCTTGTAGCAACCCCTGCGGCCCCTGCCTCACCACTCATGAGAATGACCCTCACAATACACTGAGGGTCACTGGCACCAACCAGGTCAGCATTTCGGAGAGCCTGTGCCACCCGAGATGGAAGCGAAACGAAGCGAAACAAGAGCTAAAAGCACAGAGCGGAGTTTGAAGTGCCAAAGGAGGAGTTCGTCAAAGTGATTCCTCCAACCTTGTAGCGATGGCCTCCAATCTAATAGCGATGGCCTCTAACCTTAGCGGTGGCCTCCAACCTAATAGCGATGGCCTCCAGCCTAATAGCGATGGCTTGCAAACTTGCTCTTGAGAGTACTCGACTTCACCCACCTGAGCCTTTGCAACTTTCCCAACAACCTGAAACGCTAGCGGATGCAGTTGAAAGCTCTCAAAGAATGGGCTACAAGTAGCAAGTTGATGGTTGAGATCATGCTCTAGAACATGATTCGATAGCCGAGCCTCGCGAATGTAGCCCATCTGCCGCACGCTTTCCATCAGCTGGTCCAACAAAGGTTGAGGCTTGGGAATCACCTCCTGGATTCATCAAGCGGTTTTTAACAAACACAGTAAACAGGGGTTCGTGGGACCTGTATTACACGCCATGATGTTCTTTGAACAGTTTTCTTTGATTCAAACGATTCTGGCTTAAGGTTGTTAGAGCAATGCGACAAACTGTAGTCAAGCGCCGTGTCAACAAATATGGACAATGACAATGCCCTTTTTCCATGAAAGCATGCATGGGCCAGGGATCTACTTTCGATCCATCACTTCCGCCTTATACACTGTGACCACGATTTGGATGCGCGGCTTCTTTCCTTTCGCCTCCCAAACAAAAGGCTCGGCAAAGCTACTAGGTTGTGGACCACATGGGGATTCATTCAAGGACTGTAGGTTGTGGCTGGAAAAAACATGTTGGGGTTGCTTCCTCAAAACTCATAGGGCCCAGCTGGCGACGTATAGGGCCATCCCACCTTTGAGGTCCCTTCGCAAAAGCAAAACCCTTGGAGAAAAAATGTACCAGTTTGGACCCTTCTTGCGCAAAACCTCCAAGCGTTGGGCGGTTCTCACCACCCTCTGATATATCTGTTTGTGACGACACGTTTTGATGATTTGTCCACCAGGTCAGAATCCTCAGAAAGAAGTTTGGCAAAGATTTCAACCAGAGTTTGCAGCTTGAAGTTTGGCACCATTGGGACTTGGCTCAAGTCAACGCAAAGAGGGGCACGCTGTATTGGATTGTTGCCACGCTTTGATCTTGTGCATTTGTGAGAAGTGAAAAGTCGACAGCACAAATCGAGAAGTGTCTTAGAACACCATTGGAATAAGTGAGTTTGAATCAGAAGAATCGAGAAGTGCACCAATTGCTCGGATGCCTTTGCATCAGCCAAGTTTTATCCCATAGCCGCCTTGAGGCAGCACCTCGACATGACATCCTCCACTCCGTCTCATGTTTTTAGAGTGGCTGAAACACCGTCACCAGAACCTGTAAACCAACAACAGGTTATGAGCCCGAAGGGCGTCCCTTCCTGGAATTTGCCAGCTGCGCCATATTTTCCAGCGCGCGTGAGAAGCGTCCAAATGTCAAAGCTGGTCTTGCCTCCCGAGTGGCTGCAGCAAATGGCTGCCTTGGCAAGCCGAGGTCATGACACTATGAGATTTGACGAAGAAGCAGACACACTAAGAGCTTGCAGGAAGAACAGAGAAGCTTGCCCGCGCATTACAAGGGTCACATGCACGCAAAGCCTCAACGATCGAGTCATGATACTTGAGCAGCGCCTCACCGAATCCAACCAGAGAGAGCACGCTTTAGTAAAACGGCTTCGGAGCCTCGAAAGGTCGCAGGATGACCGCTTCAAGGGCTTAGAAGGCCCATGGCGTCAATGCAGCAGGCCGCGACGGCAACGCAGGTCTCGTTGCATGAGCATCATGGCGCCATTAGCGATTGGTGGGGAGTGGTGGGGATGTGACCAGCCGGAGCTTCCTGCTGTTCAACCTCCTGGACTGCCAGTTGAGACTCACTTGATGATGGAGAAGACTATAAGAAGGAATGCGTTTGCAAGACTCTCAAAGATGTCCCAAAACTTGACATCAACCCTGGAGAGTCCTGGGAAAGAGCCCTTCAATTTACTGTATGGAGGACAGAGCTACGTGCCATAGCTCACGCCATGGGACCGTGATGGGCCATGTTCTTGCAGGCAGAGCGTGTGTATGAGGAAAGACAATTAGGCAGGCTTGAGTATCTTCGTGGCGATCTTCAAGCTGCGTCAAAGTGCGCATCTTATGTCTTCTGTGACTTTGAGAGTCGATGCTGCGTTCTCTTCACGCGCGGTTTTCCAAAACAAGTAAAAGGCCCATCCTAAAGTACTCCACTAGAGCCAGGGTGACCAGGCAGAAGTTATCGGCGTCGGTCCTCGAGCTCAATCCAGGCTCGCCACCAACATGCCAAACATGCCAGGGCATTGACGAAGCGCTCAAGGTACCGTGCCGTTCGACGCTCTCATTGCCTCCACCAGCCCCTCACGAGAAGCTTGCAGCTATGGATTCCATTCTTTGCAAGTTTGAGAAGAAGCCAGAACCCTTGAGGCTCAAGTTGCAGGCTCTCAGGACGATGCCCGAGATTCGACGGCCCCAGGACCACGTTTGCACAAGTTGAAGAAGAAACTAGAATTCTCCTGCAAGATGAAAGAACAAAGATGAACAGACAAGGCAACATCGAGTCGGTCTTCCGAGCAGAAGTGCCCAAGGCCAACCCAAGTACAAGGAGCTTTTGTCAGCAAAGTACATGGGCATTGCAAAAAGGGAGACGCTTGCCGCAAATTCTACCTTCTTGGCAGCTGCAGGCATGGAAACGCATGCAACTTTCCTCACGTTGTGGCAAAAAACATAACACCCCACTGCCACGGCAAGGGGTGCACCAAAGGCAAAGAGCAGCATCCCAGCTAAGGGCGCAGAGCCGAAACCAAAACCAGAAGCGACGCCAGTTGCAGAAGCATGTCAGTCCACCAATGACGCTGCGCCAGCCCCAGCGCGCCCACTCGCAATGACAGCTGCTTGCCACAGCAGTGCAACGGGTGGGCTCGGACGAAACGCCACTTGCGCTCATGGGGTCATCCGTCGGCTTAGGATGAAAACAGCTCAAGCAGCGCTGGCTAGCGGAGAGACCACGTCAGCCCCTGCGCCCATGAAGGAGAACTAGTTCTGCCTGGGCAGGGAGATATGTCTGCAGAGAAGCGACTGACAGTAGGTCTTGGACGCTCTTTTAAATGGAGTGGTAAAGATGGCCTACCAACCCTGAAAGTCCCCGAAGAAGATGGAAATCACAGGGGAAATACAACCTTTGAGAAAGAAGTTAGAACATGTTCTGGGGATGAAGCCATCTCTGAGCCGAGGAGCTGATTTCGACAACATGAATGAAGAGGAGGTCCTGGATGTCACTCGTTAAAGAGGCCCGAAATCACTGGAACTTGACGTCGCTCCAAGACTTACCAACCTCGGTCCGTGATGGATTCCTTGTCCTTGCCAAGCGCAGTGTCCGCAGCTTCGGCTGCGTAAGCTGCTGAGTTGAATTCATGGCTGGCCCAAGTTCGGCTGGTTGCCTGCGGCAACTTTGAAGAGGCCACTAGACCTCACACGCTTGAGAACTTGTGCGACAATCCCTCGCAAGAAGCTTTTAGACTCGTGGATTGCTCGCCGCGCAGACTGGACTGCCATGGCCCTTGATATCTCACGCGCATTCCTCAAACGTGTTGCTTCGACCGCCGCCGGCCTTGGTCCGTTTGGGCCTTGTTGCCCCAGATCTTTTGTGGACGGCTTTGAAAGCGATCTATGGATTACTGTTGGCGCAGTGTCTTGCTTGAGCGCCGTGCACCCGGGTGTCGCTGTGAAGTTGCGCCAAGGAGTCTGGAGATACTTGAGTTCCACTAGGTTTCATGGAGTGCACTTTCGACCATTCCAGCCAGTCACGTCTGACTGACGAGCTTTGGTGTTATAGTGACGCCAGTCTGGCGCCGGGAGGAAGCCGTCGCAGTGGAGTTGTGGTCAAGTGGGGCGACCACCTCATTGCATGCATGGAGGTCGATGCTTGAAATTTGGGACCGTTGGGGCTTGGCTCAAGTCTGCGCAAAAAGGGGCTCGCTGTATCGGATTGTTGCCATGCTTTGATCTTGTGCGTTTGTGAGAAGTGAAAAATTCGACAGCACAAATCGAGAAGTGTCTCAGAGAACCATTGGAAGAAGTGAGCTTGTAAAGAAGAATCGAGAAGTGTACCAAGTGCTTGAATGGCTTTGCGTCAGCCAAGTGATTATCCCATACAAGTAGCTGCCTTCATGAGGCAGCATCTTGACATGACATCCCCACTCCATCTCTTTTCTCCACTTTCTCATGTGGGCATCTTCCATGTCCCAAACCTTTCAAGCCTGGGCCCTAGCCCCTTTGCCTTGTTCACTGGGATACCCGCCAACTCAAGCTCATGGGTCATGGCGCCTCAGCAACGGTTGGAGTCACTCCTGGACGCATGCCATCCATCACTCCTGTTTTGCATTCATTTGGCAAAGTTCAGTGCAAGGCAGGTGTGCAGTGTGTGTTTTGGAAAGCTCTAGGTCCGCGACGTCCTGTGACCGCGTTGGATAGGTCAATATCACCTTTGAGTGCTGATGGCGTTGAGACACAGAACCTCCGATTAAACTCCAAAACATGCAATTCTTGGGAAACATGTTTACCACATGGATTTGTAAAAAGACATGATCATAAATGTCAAGCTTTACACTGATTCGCTGGGTGCTCGAGGCAGAAACTTCACATGACTTGGCCAAGGTGCAGCCGCCAAGAAAGTCCTCATTACCTGTGATCCAAACTCCAAACACTATCAGGCTTGTGCAGGAACACTCAACAAACAGAATCATTGAGATGCCGCCAGTGAAAGGCACCTTGCCAATGGGTATGTGGTTCATCTGCGTCGAAGACCATGGCCTGGACGAGAGCATACCAAAGGGTTGAGGTTTCTCTTGCGCAAACGCGTGTACAAACAGCATTTCATTAGAAAGACCAGCTAAGGCACACTGTGTCTTGCGGGCAAAGACTGTGTCTAAAGTTCCAAGGTCACATCAGTTCCTATGCCCACTCAAGTGCATCGCTTCTAGTAACAAGTGCTATTACTAGTAGTAACAAGAATAAATTAATTAGAATTGTTAAAGCTCCAAGTTCCCAATTCCACTTGACTCAGCCTTCAGACCAACCAATTCCACCAAGCCCCACTCTGCTGGCACCATGTAGTCGAAGGACTCCTGTTTTGGTTGTCAAACTGCGCCCACAAAAAAAGAGATAGTGATATTCAGGCTGTCGCAGCAAAAAGCTGAGTGCGGAAATCTGTGCCCGTCAAAACAGGCACATGTTTCTGTCCTTTTGTCATCACTTGCTACTTCGTAACATGACTAAACCAAAGCCAAGTGTACTTCCTTGCATTGTGGATCGACCGCATCTGATTTGCATGCATTTGCAATGCCCTCATGCTGCCAGGTCCTCCCAGTAGGGGGACAGTGTATTCCTCAGGAAGCTGCAGGACAAGAATGTAAGATCGCTGATACTGATACTCTTCAAAGCTATTCGATAAGTTCCTCTTCATTGTATTGATTCATCCAAGTGGCTGAGCAACCTTAGTAATATGAATGTTGGACATGTGGTTGTTCGACCGGATGCCCTGGCACGCCAGAAAACACTTCAGCTCATCTCCATTGACCAATTGGTTCACTCAACTCACTAATGCATTCAATAGACTCCGCCTTGACCACACAGTACGGGTCTGATTTGCCTCTAGCATCGGTGTTCCTTAGCAACATGCCAAAATGTTTCGTTGAACCATTTTGAAGGCCGTGGAAATGAGTCCATTCCAAATTTCCAACTATCCCTGCAAAGTCTGCCAGAGTTGTTGCAAGCTCGAGATGACTTCAAGGCCTCTTTTCACCCGCTGCCACTCAAGAAAACCCGATCTCAATCTCATCTGAGATACGGTAGACCCCGAGCTGCCACAACTCGTCCGATCACCCTGCCCAAGTAGATCACTGCTGGCAATGGTTCACAAACGCATAGGTGTTTTTGGGCAGCCACTGCTAAGAATAAATGACATCGACACGCAACCTGTATATTCGGCTAAAATGACCAGGTGGAAGTGCCCATCTCTTGCTTCGAAACCTGGCATGCTTTGTAAGTAGCTTGCCATAGCTTGCACGCTACAAGCAAGATGTTTTTTGTTAAGACTTCTGGGAAGCAGCAAAAGTGCAGAGGAAAGGCCCATTTGTCGAATAGACCTGGCTACGGTGACATAAAAAGCTAAATGGGCAGCGTGACCCATCATCCTCGGCCGAGTCATCAATTATCTTGCAAGAGCTTTGGGTCATCACTCATCATTAATTTGTAGTCCAGTTGTATTTCTGCATGACATCCAAGAACAAGGCTTCACGTCCGTACGGGCCCCCCGTCTTCGTGTGGGCAGGCCCATACGAAATGGCATTTCGAGCACTTCAAAAGTCGAAAAAAAGTTGTAGCGGCCTTTTTTCAGCCGTGGTCGGCACGCTCTCAGGTGTTTCGCGTGTGGTGGCGATACACCCACTGATACACTCTATTCCACAGCCGTGGGTTCACCAATCCTTTGGACCGGTTCTTGCTTTGTGGCGGGATGAATTTCATCCACAACCACAGCCGATCTAGCTGATGGGTGCCAAAGATCATCTGCTTCGAGTTGGCCATTGGCCCTCTTAGTCCATTGACTCTTCACATGCTTGACGTGCTTCACAGTCAAGCGCTTCGAAAGCAGCGGCCGACCATGCAAGTGCACCATCAGCACACAACAAAGAACCTGCTCGAACATTCCGAAGCAAGCCTGAGGTCACTATCTCAGCACATAAAAAGTCTTTTACTTTTACACCGAGAATCGGGTCCTCCCGCGAACCAGCGGCCGGAGATGGTGTCTGCGGCGCGCTCTTGTCTGACATCCGGCTGCCAAACGCCCGACGAACACGTGACTCGATGAAACCTTGAACCGACGAAAACACGAAACGACCCAAACACGAACCGACGTCATTTGCCCCCCCCCCACCCCCCCAACCCCCCCTGAATGACTGTTGGAACCCTGTCTGCTTCAAAAACGTGCAAATTCACGGGGGCCCGTACGGACGTGACACCAAGAACAAGAACTAGAGATTTCCAATTCTATTTCTACACGAACAAGAACTTGAAAGCAATTTTTGTCCGAGCTGAGGCGCCATGGAGAGGCTCGCCTGCGTGTAACAAATGTGACATTGTGAGGCTCGCTTCAAGCTGCAAAATAAGACATCGTGTTGATTGCGTCTTTGCGACAAAAGAACCATCAAAAATTGCTGTGAGAAAGCTTGACTTGACTGAAGGCCAGGAGTTTGCTTGCTGGGAGTGGCTTTCTCAGCGGCCTTTACGACGCAAAGAACTCGCCATGGTATGATTTAGGAGACATTGCAGCTGGCATTGCTAGAATTACTGAGTTCAAGACTCTAGAGAAAGTGAAACAAATGTCGGGCCAGCGGCCCTTCGGCCTCCCTGCATCTTCTTACCATGCGTTCTGATCTGGTCCAACAAACTGTGCGAATCGACCAGATATGGGGTACTACCGTAGGTTCTACTGTAGCAGGTACTACCTATGGTAGTAGTTGGCTTGCCCCACTATTCACCCCTCTATGGGCCCAAAGCTGCCGTGTGGAAGAGGCAAAACCAAAAAGCATTTTGCTGGGGACTCGCGTCTAGCTACTAGTTACTAGTAGCGATGCCCTTGTTACGCTTCCAGCTACTAGTGCTCTGGGGACCACAAAGATTGTTTGGGTCTCGTTGTTCACTCTCAATCCTTTCACAGCGTTTTCAGCTAGTGATCCACCCGTTTATATGCTTGTGGATATAAGAGCCACACCAAAAAAGCTCTTTTTTGCACCCTTTGCACCAGTGCAAGACACACGCCCGTGCAGATCCCTGCAGCTCGGCATGGTCAGAAGAAAGGAACCCATGACTCAACGGTCTGTGGATCTCTATGTAGATCCACCAGCAAAGCCAATGGTTTAGTGGCTCTGCCGCTGACTATGCCACTTGTTTGCCAGTTCGTCACAAGCGGCGAAACAAGAGCAACCAAGAGAAGCGGTAAGTGGTCATCTTTACCCTTTCAAGGCCCCTTTCCAGGCACCAGGGATGCGCGCCTTCCTGGCCTAATGAAGTCCCTAGTTCCCAGAGAGGACTGAAAGGTTCGAAAGTCCAAAAAGACACATATGAAGTTCATTGGATGGAAAAGGTTCATATGAAGTTCATGTCGTTCAAGTCTTGGAGTTAGCGAAACAAACAGGGCTTCCTCCTGGGTTTACAAGCAGTGAGCAGGGATTTGCCCAACAACTGGGACGGAGCTCGGAGTTCCTCCCATGGGCTTGCACCTGGCAACTGGAATCCAGGTGACTCTGACTCTGCACGTTCTGACTCTGCACCTTCCACTCAAGACATGAAATCACAGGATGACACATAACAGGCAAGCTCACCGCGGGAAGGTTTGCGGCGCTTGCATGTCGAGCAATCGTCCGATGACCTACCAAAACCCAGCCCCCCAAGAGTCTGATAAGTTCATGAAAAAATTGGCCAAGAGACTCTACTAAAGATGGGCGTCACGATTGACACCCTTTGAGGTCTTGTCCAAAAACTCGTTTTGTTGTCTGTTATTCAATTAATTTTGTTCTCCCAGCCTCCATTGGGTTTCTGATGGGGAACTCACAAGCTGTCCTCTCAAGCAAACAGTCCTGCTGACTTCCTCACCTTCTGCTGATCACCGCTGAAGCTTGCATCATCAGACCTCAAAAGAATACGACCCACGGCAGTCCTACAAATGGCAGTCCTACAAACGAACACATGGGAGACGCGCTGACAAACTATATATATATAACACGCAAAAGTTGTTATTCAGCTTCCATGCTCCTGGCCGAGCATGCAGCGTTTGGAGAAGTGCCACAAGACGATCCTGCACAGCGGTTTAAATCCAAATATCATTACAGAATGGCAAGAACTAGCTCGCATAATATTGGAGCAACCAGTATCTGATGACTCATGCCATTGACATGTGTCAAAGCTGCAAGTCCTTATTCTTCACAAGGATCTGCTGAATTCGTAGTGGCTTGTGCGGATTCACCACAAATATCTTGAACCTGAGTGCTCACAGTGCTCACCCAATGACCCTTACCAGTAGCCACTGAAGGCCACTAGGCACTGCTCTTAGGCCCTGCGAGCCGGACACATGAAATGCCTCAGCTTGAATGGCATGGGAGTCTGCCAGCAACAGGTTCATGATGATCCTTGGTTCAAGAATGTTCAACCGTAAGCAAAACCTGCGTCAGGTCTTTGGAATAAAAATGTTTGAGCAGCAGCAGCAGCAGGTGTTTTGCAAAAATTATGTTCAGGTGTGGGACAAAAACTCACGGATTGGATTTGTAAGGCCACAACTTCAGATGCTGTTCATTGCTGACATAGCTCATCATCACCCTGTCACATTGACACAGGCTCGTCAAAGCTTCAAAACAAAGCAACAAACTGCCGAGCCGCGATCAATTCATGCTGTGTCGTGTTCCGGTGTCGCGTGAGATCCGCCAGACCTCTGGAAGTTTCGATCCATCAGCATTCCTGCAAGTAGGGTCAACGCCTTGCGGCCAGGGCCCTCTGCAACTAGCGCTGATGATTGGCAGCAAAATAGCGATACAAAGAGGCTTTCTGACAGAACAAAGAACAAAGGGTAAGTTGATCCATTCAGCCAACGAATGCCAAATCAACTTGACACGAGCCAGGCAAACCAAAGGTTTGTAGTTAGGAGAGGCTAAGCAAAAAGGATTCAATGGCCAAACCAGGTGAGAAGTCTGTCTCAAAGGTGGTACTTGCCACCGTGATGCTGGTGGCGGTAGTGGTGGTGGTAGTAGTACCGGCAG